GGGGGGGGTGAGGGGTTCTTTTTGAGATAGAGTATCACCACGCAGTTTAAACTGGCTTTGTAGCCCAGGCTGGTCCTGAACTCGCAACAATCCTCCTGCCTCAGCCTCTCGAGTGCTGGGATTACAGGCACGCACCACCATGCCTGGCTGACTTTTATATTGATGTTTTCTTCTTTAGAATGTCAGAGAATAGGAAAAATGTCATGCTTAATGCAATAATATTTGTTTTTAGAATAAAAATGCAATAATGTTTGTTCTGACTGGACTAAAGCAAGAGGGGAAAGACTATTAGCTCTAATCACTTGAATCAGAAGGTAAGCACACTTTTCTATATGGCCTTTAAATAACAAAACAAACCAAACCTGTCAGGAATCCAATTGAAAGACATTAATAAAACAAACAAAAAAACCCAAAACTGATACTATTATGACCAACCATATATTTAAATTCATAAAGTAAACAATGTAAGTACTAAGAGAGAATTTCAACTTCCTCTTCCTTACTAGAGACTAAACCCAAGGTCTTAGCCCTGGCTTACATTTCTATCTCCCCACCTCCCACCCTTTTTTTTTTTTCCTGCTTTCTTTTGTGGCAGGCTCTTGTTAAGTCACTAAGCTATCCAGGTTGAGCCTGAATTTGCAACCCTCTGACTCAGGCTTCTAAAGTACTGGCATTACAGGTGTGTACCACTAAAACTGCCAAAATGAAAAAGATTTTCAAACCACATTTTAAGCTATGATAAAATTTCACCATACAACGCTCATTTGTCCACAATAACAACAGACCGTGAATTGCTATGTTGACACAAAAGACCAAACTAAAAATATCTAATATTTGGGGCTGAGGATCTAACTCAGTAGTAAAGTGTTTACTATACATGAAGCCCTGGGTTCAATCTTAAGTACCCCCTCCCTCAAATCTAGTATTTCAGTGATCCATACTATGATCTTATATAGGAAAAATGTTTGCTCAAATAAAATGAAGTATTTCGGTTTTCTTGAAGATGCATAATCTTATTGCTTTTTGTCCAAGATAACTTTTTCAAAGTAACTTTTTATCCTTCACCTTTTATTTGAAGAAGTCTCAGCAGGATGCTATCAAGAACCCAGAGGGGGTTCCATGGAAGGCAGCCCTACCCTCTTACCTCAGGAGAGGCACTCTGGGATGGCTCATTTGCTTCACTGTCACTGGAACTACTTTCACTTTCTGAGTCAGATCCAGAGCTGCTTTCAGATCCACTATGGCTGCTAGAATCATCCCTGGAATTATCTGCTCCTTCGCTATTATGATGTGAAGGTTCAGAGTTGCTAAAGGAGGCAAAACACATAAATGATGAAAAGTATGTTTCACAATGACAAAAGAAAATCACCCAAACCTGAAAACTTCATTTATGATGTCTGCCTATGCTGTTACAATTCAATGAACCTAAAACTTCTTTTTTTTTTTTTGGGGGGGGGCGAACAGGGGATTGAACTCAGGCTCTTGTATTTGCCAGTCAAGTGCTTATTCTACTAAGCTATCTCCTTGGCCCCCTAAAACATTTTTACAAATGAAATAAAAAGCACTTCCCTCAACAAGCTTCTGATATGCTACTCAGCTAATACTTCCATTTTTAAAAGTTTGCAGTCTAATTTACATATCATAAATTCACCCAGTTTAAGTGTCTATTTTTTTTTTTTTGGTGGTACAGGGGATTGAACTCAGGACCTTGCACTTATTCTACTGAGCTCTCTCCCGGGCCTTAAGTGTCTAATTTGATGATAACCATTTATTACATCACTACTAATGTTAATCAGGCTGATCTTCCCCTCCAAACAAAGCAAAACAGAAGGCGCTCACCTGCCTGGCGTACTTCTGGGCACTGTTTTATCACAATCCTAAAATTAAAGCATAAGAAAGAAATTTCAATAAATAGTGCTCACTGCTTAATGCAAACAGTACCTAAACTTTCTTAATTAAAAACTGTTAACACGAGAACTGTTTAGTTAACACACTGTTTTTACCTAAAGATTCACTGAATCAATTGCCTACATTAAAAATCTTTGTTAGTATTTCTTGTCAATCTTCTACTTCATAGAGAAGTTGTTTTTTTTAAAAAAAAACAAGGGGGGAAAAAAATGAAGGTTTACTGACAGGGTGGAAAACTATAGCATTCCAGTGTCAGGAAGCTTATGAAAAGAACTGTTTCCAAACAACTGGCTCATAAGTGTTATGAATCAATTATAATTTTTATAAAGTAAAATAAAAATACTGTATGAGATGGGGAAATTACGTAGTAGACATACCTGTTCCCCATCACTGTCTTCACTGCTGCTTAGTTTTAAGTCATCTTTTAACATACTAGAGAAAAAGGCAGAAAAGATTATTACTTTTGGAAGTTCATCATGGCATGTCAAATTATTAAGTATCAGTAATACTAGAGATAATTACTGTGATCAACAAAGATTTAACTGAAAAACTAATCAACGAACAGAAAACTGAGAGAATTTATTTCATAAGCTCTAAATTGTCACAGATGAAATATTCACCTTTCTTTTCCAAATAAACATCAGATACTTCGAGGCCAGGGAGATAGCTTGCAGGTCTAAGCACCTGCCTGGTAAGTGCAAGGACTAGGGTTCAATTCCTGGTACTGCATGCTGTGTCAGCCCTGGACCAAGCCAGCCACCAAAAACAGGCATGGTGGTGCATGCCTATGATCCCAGCGCTGGGGAGGCTAAGACAGGAGGATCATTACCAGTCTGAGCTGTGTAGCATACCAAACAAACAAACAATACTTCCTATAAACCTCCTCTTCACTTTGGTTATCACTAACTTCTCTTTAAATGTGTGCATAAATCATTGTATCATTAAAACAAATTAACAGCCATATGCAACAGTCCACTAAAAAGCAAATTAAAATGTAAGCATCAAGTGAGTCTCTGTTCTAAGATTTGTACAGCTATTGGCAATGGGATAACTGTGCAAAGCAGAAGAATACAATTTCCTAAGTCAATAAATGCCTTAGTATGAAAGGCAAGTGGTTTTTATAAACAGGAAAAATGACCCCAGTATGAATTTATCTCCAGGTTCCAAATTTTGCTTGATCAAATTTCAAATTAATTAAAAAAAATACATATATCAGAGGATGAAACTTTCTGGAATTTGTTTTGAAAGTAAAATTAAAGATGGAAAATTTCCTTAAGACCATAAAATCAAAACCCAACACCTTAAAAAGAGAGGCAGCTTCTTCCTACACTGAAGAATTAAGGGGGCCAGGGCCGGGGAGATGGCTCAGTAGAATAAGCGCTTCCCTGGCAAGTGCAAGGGCCCGAGTTCAATCCCTGGTTGCGCAAAAAAAAAAAAAAAGATTCAAGATTATATTTTTATTTATCATATTTACATTAAAGAACTAATGAATGATTATTTTGGTCTTTTTTTGGTTGCTGAACCTTAAAACTGAACCTTAAATCTGTACTACAACCTGCAAAATATTCTTTTCCTCTTTTTCTGAGAGGAAAAAAAAAAAATTAACACAAAGTTTGGGGACAACCAAATGCATTAGAAAGATGTATAATTCTCATTATCAGTGGTTCTGCCCTATCTTTCTCTTTAAAATGTAGTAAATCAGTGGGATGGAAGTCTTCTTTCATTCTAATAACTATTTGTTCTTTCTCCTCAAAGCTCAATCTACTTTCTAAGTCTGATTCAAAATTCAACTTATTACTCAATATATTCCCTTGAAATAAAATAATCCTACGATTATATAATAATAAAATATTGTAAGACTGACATAAAGGGGGTAAAATATAATAGTTTTGTTTTTGGTGTTTTTTTTTTTCTTTTCCCCCTGGTGGTGCTTTTGGTTTTTGAGAAAGGGCCTCACTACGTGGGTTCAGGGTGGCCTTGAACTCACTGTGCAAGCCCAGAGTATCTTCAAACTCACAGCAAAGTTCCTGACTCAGCCTCCCAAGTGCTAGGATTACAGGCTTGCACCACCACATCTGGCCAGAGTTTTGTTATAAAAAAGAGTTTAGTGCATCTCTATTACCAACTTCCCATGAGAAAGTGTACTCATTCTGAATTCTCTCAAGACCTTAAGATTTAACAAACGCAGCTCAATGAATGTGTTTACATATATCAATATTATATGTCAAAACTTTTACTAGGCTGTTCAATGTCCTGCATGCTGTTGTTTCCTCAGCAACCAAAAGAGACCAAAATAATCATGCATTAGTTCTTTGATACAAATATGATAAATAAAAATATAATCTTAATTCTTCACCTGTGTAGGAAGAAGTTGCCTCTCTCTTTTTTTAAGCTGTTGGGGTATGAACCTAGGACCTTGTGCATGGTTGGGCAGCACTGTACCACTGAGCTACCTCCCCACCCAAGGGAAAGCTTTTTACATCCAGGTATTTTCATTTTCACTTAGTCCTCCCTTGTTGAGCTGAAGAGGATACCAGGTAGAGATAATCAATATAATTTGTGATTATGGCACAAAAAGTTTGCACTTTAGACACAAGTTTTTTTCTTTTCATTAGTCCAAGGCTAAAAGTAATACGTTACTCTATTACTTTTTATGCCTCCCCCACCCCCAGAGCTGGGGATGGAACCCAGGCAACACAGAATTATATACCCAGTTCTTTTTCATTTTGAGACAAGGTCTAAGTTGCCCTGACTAGCCTCAGAGTGGCAACTTAACTGCCCTGGGCTGGGGAAGTAGCTCAGTGGTACAGTGCTTCCCTACCACACACAAGGTCCTACAAACGTTTAAATCCCAATACCTTAAAAAAAGAGAGAGGCAGCTTTTATACCTTATACCTTAGCTTCCCAAATAATTACAACTAAAGGAATGCACCATCACTCACACCCCTTATTACATTTTGATATATATTCCTGATTCTGCCTGCGAAATAAAATCTGGAAAACTTAGCCTTGAGTGATGGCAGATGTGTGCAATCTCAGCTACTCAGGATGTAAGAGGATTTCAAGTTCAAGCCCAGCCTGAGCAATTTAGATTAAAAAAATAAAATAAAAAGGAGGGCTGGGGAGATCGCTCAGTAGAATAAGTGCTGGGCTGGGGAGATGGCTCAGTAGAATAAGTGCTTCCCTGGCAAGTGCAAGGGCCTGAGTTCAATCCCCAGTTCCACCAAAAAATAAAAAATAAAAATAAAAAAATAAAAAGGAGTAAGGATATATGTAGCTCAGTAGAAAGGCCCCATGTTTGATTCCCAGTACCACACCACTCTCCCCTCAAAAAGAAAGGAAAAACCTAAAGGTAGTACAACCTGCATTACCTCAGCATACAACACTTAGTAGTGAAAAGAAGAGTTTACAAAGAAGAATCCTGCAAACACACTTCTCTGAGAGAAAAAAAAAAAAGATCTTACTCCAGGGGTAGGCAAATTATGACCCACAAGCTAAATCTAGCCCACCATTATTTTGTAAAGAAAGTTTCACTGGAACCCATCTATGGGTCTATGGCAGTTTTTACACTACAATGACAGAACCGAGTACACAGGACAGAGGCCATGTGACTATGAAACTAAAAACTTTCATTATCTGGCCTGGTTACATAAAATTTTGCCTGCTACTGCCTTATAAGATTACTATTTCTGCCCAGGAATGTAACTCAGAAGTAAAGTATGATTTAACAGACCAAAAGGATTAATACGCTATTATTCAAAACATTCAGACACTACAGACAGCTTTTACAAAATACATTAAGCAATAAACTTACGATTTAGACTGGTGACCATTTGCAGTTTTAGCAGGATTGTATCTTTCTAGAACAAAAAGAATGCAGAAATAAACAAGTGTGGTTGGCTATTTAAGATCACAGAACATCAATCAAAATAACTACCCTCAATAAAATATAAAATGAAACAATGATATAATTTCTCATCCATCAAAACAACAACACAGGGGCCAGGGAGATGGCTCAGTGGAGTAAGCGCTTCCCTGGCAAGCACAAGAGCCTGAATTCGGGGCTGGTGAGATGGCTCAGTGGTCTAAAGCACCTACTTAGAACAAGCTAAGCTAAGCAAAGCACAGGGACCACGGTTCAATCCCCCAGCAC